CTCACAATTAAGTTTTTGTATGTTTCTCACAATTTTATTAATATGACTTGTTTGATTTCTTTATTTGTTATTCATCTATAGGAGTCAAATGTTTTGACAAATCATTAATTTTTTGATGAATGCCTATAATTCAGTTTGAATTTATATATATTTATCTTTATTAGGTTGATGCTGTACCATATCTTGTAGAGCACATTCATAGGACAACTGCAAGACAACTGCTCCATATTAATGGGTAAGACCAGAGAGTTCATGGCCTGGTTGGGTTTACTTTACTACTAGGTTTTTCTTTCTGCAGATAAATCAAACATCTTTTTATTTAAAAAAGCTCCCCTTTTTCTCTTGGTTTCTACTTTGTCACTTCATGGAGAACCATTATTTGCAGTTATGTGGATCGGATAGCCAATGCAAAATGGGAAGTGAAAGAGCTTGGACTAGAGCATAATGGGTTAGTTTCTTGATATTTATTCTTTATTTATTTGAAAGTTTCCAGGTTCATTTTTATGATCTTGTACCATGCCGTTGACAATGATCTTTCAGATTTCGTAAAATTCCTTCTTGGGGCCAGCTAGTTTTTTACACATCGAAGCTTTATCTGTATGATAAATTAGGAGCGATATGTTTACTAAAACTGATTCTGTGGTCGTTATTTAGATCTTGGATGAGAACCAAACTTCAATTATGCTTATGGCTCTTCAATGTCTGGTCTTATGTTTCTGGAGGTTTTAGCTTTTGTATCATATGACATTATAATTTATTGTTTTCTTTTGGGTGTTTTCTTAAATATATCATTTGCCACAAATCCTCAAGTCTCAGAAATTTCTTCCCTGAGCATAACTTGTTTTAGGCCCTTCTTTTAGGTCTAATGCATGGTTCCTCTTTGCATGTCAATCCTTGACGACCATGTTCACCTTGTCTTTGTATGGGCAAGAAACAGAGATTTGTGAAAAAGTCTTGCTGAAATGGCTTTCACACCAATTTTTCCTCTCTACTACCATATGACAAGTGTCAAGTTTTCTGACATGAGTTGTTGCTTTAATAGGTATGTTGATTTGTTATTGGGAGAATTCAAGCACTATAAAACAAGGCTTGCTCATGGGGGAATTCGCAAGGAGGTAATAACTGGCTGTTTTTCTTGGAACTTTCACAATAAAATGGAGAAGTTGCTCCTCTCAATAGGGTTCGAGTGGTTAATGGGATGACTTGATTGGTTTGCTTCTGGAAATTGTGAATTCTTTGGGTATGGACTGTTATTGTGTGGTTATTCTGTTATGCCTTTATGCTCTATCTAAAGTTCCTTTTTCTCGGGTGGTAAAAGAAATAAGTTATTAGGTTTACGTTGGGTATGCATTGTTATGGGGTGGTTATTCTGCTATGCCATTCTGCTCTATCTAAAGTTACCTTTTTCCCCGGTGGTAAAAAAAAAAAAGTTATTAGGTTTTACCTTGGGTATGGAATGTTATTGTGTGGTTATTCTGTTATGCCATTGTGCTCTATCTACAGTTCCATTTTCCCGAATGATAGCAGATAATAAGTTATTTGGTTTTACGTTGTTTATATCAGACTAAGGGATAAATTGCTTTTATATTTTTGTATAATGGTATGCACTTTTGACTTGACGCAACTACTAAATATGAAATTGGTATCTGAATTGCATAGTGAATCACCACTTGCTTGTGCTAAGAACTTTGTGTTATCGAAAGTGGGCATGTATTTTAAAAATAAAAAATGTGCTTGATTGCAAATATATGTATGTGTACATGTAGGTTCAAGACCTCCTCTTAGAATACGGACTTGAAATTGTGGCCCAAACTCTCATAGAAGGACTCTCCCGTGTCAAGAGGTGTACAGATGAAGGGCGGGCTCTCATGTCATTGGATCTACAGGTTCTCTCTCAAATTGGACAAGATATGAATCTCAACATTCCTTTAGCGTTGCTCTCCTTTGCAGCTTAATAAATTTCAGGACTCCTTTGTGGGTTTTAGGTTTTGATCAATGGCTTGCAGCATTTTGTGGCAATGAACGTGAAGCCCCATTTACAAATAGTTGAAGCCTTCATTAAGGTAAGCTCAAACAGACTAAATAGTTAGCAAGATCTTCGGAAATTCTGTTATATTGTTAAGCGACTAGAACAATTTGGTAGAAGTGGGGTTTCGAAACTAACTTTCACTCTCTTTCTACTCTTGGTCAGGCATACTATCTTCCGGAAACCGAATATGTGCACTGGGCACGTGCTCACCCGGTAAGAGATTCCATTACTGCGGACTTCTTGTGGTTAGATTTTGGACACTGATTTTCTTACATCATGAATATGAACTTACCTTTTCCACTGCAGGAATACACAAAAAATCAAATTGTTGGGTTGATCAACCTTGTTGCCACTATGAAAAGTTGGAAGAGAAAAACCAGACTGGAAGTGCTAGAAAAGATTGAATGAGCATGCAACTTCGGATAAGCGTGGTAGGTGTTTTAATCATTTAGAACCCCACGTATTGCTCGTCTCTCACTCTTCCCATAAATTTTTTCTAATGAGCTATGTATATTTGATTTTGTTTTGATTTTTCATCTTCATGTGCACCGTAAATGTTGATCCCGGTTGTATATTTTCTCGTGTCTCAGTTTGTAATATATAATCATCCCTAATAGGGACGATTAAATGTATTTTTGGATCTCATGAGTCTCGAAATAATGATATGTCAAGAGAAAAACGTACAATTGGAAGTTGGAACCACGAGCTTTCATCGAACTGTAGTAAAGCTTTCGTGCAATTTTCCGTTACCTTGCCTGAGCAGATGCTTATGAATTGGTTCTGTAGAATAGCTAGGGACCTTCAAACCTTAAGAGAGAGGCAGCTTATCTATGTTTGGGTAAGCGATTGCGATTTCAAAGTCCCAAGTGACCGAGGTTAAGTTCTGAAATGTAAGATATAAAGCCCTCCATGACCAGTACAAAGACATTTTAGAGAGATTTGCAAATACTTGGAAGGTGTCTTTTGCAAACCCTCCAACATACCTTTGTAATGATTATGGAGCATATTTCTTAGGGATGGTTTGGGAGTGAGGTGCTTAAAAAAAAAGCACCAATGAAAAAAAGCTGTGAGGGTTTTAGGTGTTTGGTAAATTGAAAAAAAAATGGCTTATTTTGGAAGCTACTGTGAGAATAAGCTGAAATCAAAGGAAAAAGCTGAAGCTGCTATTTGCAGCTTTGGAAAATTGGCTTTTTTTCAAAGCACACGGAGCTACAGTGCTCCTTTAATGAAAAGACCCACTATCAGACTTTTTTTTCAAAAGCACTTTTACAAAAAAGTTTACCAAACACTCTGCTGATTTATTTCACAGCCACTTATTCTCATAGCTCAGCCGCTTATTCTCACAACAGTTTTTTTTCAAAGCACAGCAATATCAAATCAGCCCTTAATCCCTCCTATCAATTTTTTGTGTCATCCATTTTTTATTGACTTGGACTCAATTTCTTGAAACTTGCCAATCCTTCTCCCCAAACATAATGTTTACGGAAATGGTACCTCAAAGGATCTTTTTATTCTGTTAGTAATAGTTATCAAACATATATTTACGACCCTTTTTTATAATCTTTTCTATTTTTATTTTTATTTTATTATTATTATTTTATTTTTTGTGTTTAAAATACGAGGAAAGTAGATGGGTTAGGGACATATGAAGAAGGATGATGGGAAAGAGAGAAATAAAAATGAATCAACCAAAACAAAATTTTGAAAGTGTGAAGAGCTATAAATAGTTATTGGTTTTAAGTTTTTTTTGTTTTCGTCTGTCTTATTTTTTCCTCCGCATATTTTCCATCGTCACCAACTCAAAAGTTAAAATTCAAAAATAAAAAGCCAAAATAGTTATCAAACGGTTATTATGTTGGGACAAGTAAACGGAGAAAAAGAACATCTATCCCAATTTTACGTGTGGAAATTAAAACTTTGTAATCTTATTTAAAGATTGCATAGAAAAAGTTCGTCGCCATGTGACCTCCCAATCTAATAATACATTGTCATGTGGAAAAAAACTCACACTTGACAATGTATTATTGGATACATGGCGTCGCGTGGCGATGAATATGTTCTATGTAAATTTTTTTTCCCAAATTACCCTCATTATCAGCATGCCACAAAGGACACATAAGCTTCATTTTACTATAAAAGTCAGAGGAGAGCTTTAGAGGAAAGGACCTTCAGCTCAATTCAGCAAATCGAGAAGTAACCAACCAACACTCTATGCTATCAAAGCTTCCCAACTGAGCTTCCTCTTCGAGGACACTTGTTTCCATTGTCTTGATCGATAAGGCATTTTCCTGCCTCTCAGAGCTTCATCTTGCTTCATTTCCTGTTTCCTTCCTAAAATCAAGTGCACTTTCTTAAGTTTCACTAGTTCTTGTATTGGATTTTTAGTCTTTAGCGCCTGTGTTTAAGAATTGTACTCTTTCTATACAAATTGGAATGACGAATACTAGTTTTTAATCTTTTTATTCATCTTCATCTCTATAGTTCTTAGCAACCGATCCATAAGAGTGTGAAGTCATCAGCATTCAAGGCATAGATAGCAACTTAACCGAGCCAACGTCCCACTCATGGCATAATCATTTGGTTTCAAAATTAAGAAAAGTGCAACACACACTTGCACTAACACGTTTGTAAACCCTCTCTCTCCCTCCTCGTGCAATGAGAGGCAAAGTAAAAATCGGAAGCAAATAGTTTGTCGCAACAGTTTAACTAGATCCAATTTAAACCCCAACATTATGACGGTTGGATGCAATTAATAACTAAATGGATACTTATGCATAAGTCTAAATACAATTGCTCGTTATACGATTCTTTCATTCAAATTTTGAAATTCCCTTCTTATAAATTACGTAAATAAAAAATCGTTGTATATTTCGATTCAAATGAAAAAAGAAAACCGTCGCATAAAAAAATGGACACATCTGTTTGTGATCAAACAACTATTCTTAGTTAAAAAAACAAAACACCGAACTAATAATAGAAATGTTCGACCATATACCAATTGAAGATTGAAGAATGAAAATTAAATATAAAAATTGCAGCAGCCTCTTACGAAAGGAACTGGATTGTCTGTCCTTCCCATTCCCTCTTATTTCTGTTGTCACGATTAAGCCACGTTAATATTTTTAATGATTTTTTATAAAAATAATAAGACAAAAATAATGAGAATATAAAATGTTAACTTAACTTAACGGCAATCATAAAAATAAAAGAAGATGAAAAAGGGATAGGATGGAAGATGACAGACAATCCAGGTTTCTTACTAAAAGTAAAACTATCTACCCTGCAGAGTCCGCAGCTTTTCCCCTCATTGCATGTTTGTGTCCCACGTGGTTATTGGTTTGCTTGTTGACTCGTCTCTTTGTACTCAGAGTCCTCTCCCCATCAATCATTTTTCTTTTGTTTGCTTATTTGCTGTAGTAGTGTGCCTGCAGTCTGTCTTTTCTTGTACACAGTGTCTGTCTGCCATTGATATTATTACGTGTTTCGTTTTCTACGTAGAAGCAGCAGGAGCAGGTGATTGCGTGATGTCGGCCACCATGTTCAATGCAATGCATGGCTGATCCACAGGTACCTGTAAATTAAGTAAAATATCATTGAAGTTGGTAAATATACAAAAAAGAAATTTAATTAGGTACTTTCAAATTAAAAATGGAACTTAAGCATCAAATTATTGTTCATATATATTATATAAAATTTATAATAACATTTGTGTGTATTTTTTTATAAAATATTTAGAATCGAAAAGGTTTCTGAGTTCGTTAGACTTTGTCAGCTTTGTCGTGCACATGAGTGTTTACTATATACATACTGACCGGTCAGACTTCTATTATTTCATGGACTGTCAGTAGTAATACATACATACATATATAGATTACTTCTACTATAATCAATATGTATCAGGTAATTGTCACGTCATATGCATGCGATGCAACGAAAGATATACCAAAAGCGTGACTTGAAACAAACAATACCTAGGACTCTGTATATTTTTGTTTAACCCTAAATCATGTTAGGATTAGTCGTACATAAGTTTCATCATATTCGTAAAGTTTGTAGTGTGTTATACGTATCAACCAATGACCAAGAACAGCTTATGTACCATAAACAATTGAAAGCCAAAACCCTTCTTTTGTTTTGAAATTCTTGCAATTAAATTATTTAAATGAGATAACGAAAAATTACAGCTTTAATTTTTCCATGTTCTATGCATGTATTTCTTCATAAATACTACTAAAAATCTTATATATGTTTTATCGTATGATGAGATAAATAATAATCAAACAAATGATCATAACAATTAGACTTATTTGCTGATTTCTTATTTGAATTTGTATAGAGTTGTTAATTTCTCTCTAGACTTTAATTTAAACTGGTTATTCCCTGAACCTGTATAAATAGCCAGTTTTCCCATGGTGTTAAATTTTGAAATCTTCATCCAATTTTCGATCCATTTTGGTCAAAGGACATCACACAGCAACTGTATGAGGGCAAAAAAGTAATTTCGCTTGGTAAATTGGCATGGCCAATATTTATAGCTGCTAATTGGACTAACATGACTAATTCAAACAAAAATAGTCAACTAGTGGAAGAGAAAAAGAAGAAGAAAAAAAAAATATGCTATTGACATTAGGGATAAACATTTGACATGTGATTCTAAAATCTAACGTTAGGAGGGAAATTAGCTAATTATAAAAATTTTGGGAAAGGAGAAAAAGGGGGGAGGGGGGGAGGGCGGATTAGCAACTTCTTACAAGTTCGGAAAGAAATCGACAAATACCTCAAACAATTATATAATGTAACAAAACATGTGATCATTACATGGGTTTGTTTTTCTTTAGACCATCTCCAATTCTGGGGTTAAAACCTAAAACTTTAGGTTTTAACCTAGAAATAGTTTTTTTTTGCTCCAATACTTCTAAAACCTAAATTTTGGTGGCCCAACCTTTTAACCTTGACCTAAATTATGGGTTAAATTTATCCAAATTTTAGATTTTAACCCCAAACTTATTTGAGTCAAACCACTGAAAAAGATTTGGGTTAGTTTTAAACCTAAGTTTTAGGTTTTAATCCAAAGCTTGGAGATAATCTTAATAAAAAAATAAGGGGGATCATTTATGTTTGCTTTTTTGGTACTATTTTCTTTCTTTTGGCTTGTCATTGCATGTTTGTGATAACTTATCACTCTCGTCATGGAAGCATCCAACGTACAAGCTGATCCAATCCAAGCTATGGCCAGCTTGTTTAAAGAGAACTGCATTTAGCACGTTCTGTCTCCATCATCCAATCCCAAGTGATTTCATCTTAGAATCTCTTTCTCCCAAGTTGAAATTGCAAAATGTGCTCCGAATAGTAGTCAAAATAATAGTGAACGATGAAAGTCTCTCTATGCAATTATTTACTTTCAAAATTTTGTAAATTTTTAAGTGACTTTTAGACCATATTTATAATTAAGAAAATAATTTATGCACACCATTATGTCATTAGACTGGACTAATTAAAAGAATTAAAAGTCCACATTTAGCAATCGTGTGCAAAAGGTGGGAAAAAAAAAGGTAGGAATCACTCCCCTATAATTAAGATTTGAAAACAGATTAATCCAAAAAACTGGTAGACCAGCATACAGCTAGGGGTTACACTCAAATGCTTAAAGAAAATGGTCAAATGAGTTGTTGCATTTGTACACTTAATAAGCTTTCATTAGAGAGAATATTATTGTTTTAAACAAATGTTTTAGCATATACAGATTTTTCACTCAACTTTATCCAAAACCATGACATAATTACCAAGATGACATCTTAATTATGGCCTTAGAATTACATTTTTAATATGCCAATAATGTATTGGCTTATAGCATTATTTGCACTTGCATGAATGCATCGCAAAAGCAGTGTCACCCTCCCCAAATAGTGATGTTGATTTCTTTGTATATTTTCTTTCATATTCTTAAATTTTGCAAGTGTGACTATGATGTTATCTAGAAAGACTTACATGACATAAGTACACTATCATAATGATGTCTCGTGCTAATAAAATAAAAATACTTGTAACTTTTTGTTCAAATATTTTTGTTTTACCGACACAAATAGTTACATGAAGGTGCATTCGAATAATGTAAATTGATGTAATTGTTATCAAGGTCATAATAGGTAGAGGTGATAAGACATGACACTGATAAGACATTACAAAAGAAGTAATAATTACTATGTGCTGATGGAGGAAAGTTTTGACTTACAAAATGTCCTGCTCCAAGAATCCAATAAAAGTGCAGGTTTTTGTGCGACCTGGTGAACCCTCTTGTAATTCCTTCTTGGCCACAATAAAGAGGGGTTCTACTCTTGTTCAAGAAATGTGGGAGTCCTTCCCAACTGAACAACAAAATGGAAAAAATCACCACCCACATGAGAGAGAGAGAGAGAGAGAGAGAGAGAGAGAGAGAGAGAGAGAGAGAGAGAGAGTGTGTGTGAATATACTTGAGCTTTTCAACCCATGCTTCAGTCCCCTTGGTTGCACATATGAGATCAACCTACAACATTTACCAACCAAGTCATGTCAAAACTAGCTAGTTTGCACAAATCCAATAGCATCCAATTCTTAATTATAATTAACTTTAAATAGCTGGTAATATTTGTTTTCGGTGTAAAAATTTGATAAGAGAAGAGAAATACTGTGGAAAAATGAAGAAAGTGTATTTTTCATTATTGAAGAACGAGATTACAACACAAGCCTTTAAGTGGAAATAACTAAGAAACAATCTCCCTTGATTGAAGGAAATATACACTACAAAGTCAACAAGAGAGACCTAGGGTCTGCGGGCCGCTGAAGGTGAGAGAAAGGACTTGTACTACACTACTACTGCTATGTTAGTCAAGCATATGCAATAACGATGGGAGAAAAAGTTTACAACCAGCTAAACAAACTAAGTCATCCAATAAATACCAGCAGAATGTAGCAATTTTTTTTAATTATTGTGGAATGCACAATTAATATCGCTAACACATATCTTAATTCTAGAACGGATCCATCAGTTTTCTATTCGCTAGTCCTAATTTTTTTTAATAATATAAAACTGTTGGATATTGCTGCTTAAAATGAAAGCAACGTTGAGAAAAACTTACTTGCCCATTGTATATTGTGACATTGACCCCTTTAGCAAGGAGTTCATCAACCTATGTGAAGAGAAAAGGGAAATCAAAGGAAAATTAAAAGTTGGCACAACATAAGATTCTTTCAAGACAAATAAGAAATATAGTAGAGCAATCAAAAATTCGATTTCCTTGCAGATAAAATACTCAATTAGGAAAAGGTTATCTAATAAAAAAGAATAATTGGAAGAAGAGACTTTGATTTCTCTATTCGATTCCTACAAGACAAAATTAACTCGAACTTTAGGTGTAGAGAGAAAACACATCGTTCTAGCCAATTTTGTTAGATTTTGGTAACATTTTCTTAGTTTTCACGACTTGTCTCCTAATCTCATCCACTCCTAAGCTTCCTAAACTTTTAATTGAAGTGTACACTGCAACTATCTTGTAATATAATGCAAGCGTACACTTTATGGCTATATTATAGTTCCGCTCTTCTGGATTAGAAAAATTATTACCTCATGAATCCTTGGGTTCATAAAATCGCCTGCCATGGCTGGGAAGACGTTATGAGACTGCCCTCCCCATCTGCAAACCCAAAAAATATACACCATTCTTGGATTACATCATATTTGCCAAGCATTTTTAACCGTAAAAACTAAAAGAGAACTGTTGTTGGCGTTGCAAAAAAATGATTCTATTTTCAACTGATAATGTATTTAAAACAAAACATGGTGAAAAGAGTATATATACTCACGTCACATTATCTGGGATTATCTCAAGCTTCTTTTTAATGACACCATTTAACAAAGAACCAAGATCACCTTTACCGCCACCTGCTGAAGACCTTAAAGAAGTTAGGTATATTGAATATTTTTCGATTCCTTGGTTATAGCGAATTGATGCCAAGGATGAAACTGGATCCATTCCTGAATCCAACAGAAAATTATAGAAATCCTGCAAATGTCACGAATCCAATATGTAAATGAAATCAGAAAATGTGAGTTTTAATTGAGTTTCAGTCACAAATAATAGTAAATTAATATGAAAATTAAATTAAAATTTAAAAAATTTACCACAGCATTGCTGCTAGACATGATGACTTGCTCAAGCTCCCTCCATGAATTGGTTGCGTCCACTAACTGACCATCCTGAATCTGTTGCTTAATTCTTTGAGCCACATTATTTGATTCCTGTAATCCCTTGTCGTCAAGCCTTGACACGTCTTTGAGCAGAGGACCCCAAGAAAGCTGCAAGTGTACAAAAATAAATTATCGATAACTGAATGTAATTACACATTAACGGAAATTTGTCAATACCACTATATAATCTTTTAATAAAATTTTAGAGTTTGACTTCCATGAATGACGAGTTTAATACAAATTGATTCCCATTATGTGACTTAAATCGAAGAACCCTATCTACGCCCAATATGGTTGTATTTAAAAGACAATATAATGCAGGGAAGTAAAATTAGTGGGTCAACAGCAGTTAGAAGTATGGTAACTTACCACAAAATCTTCCGGAGAGATCCAACTGTCTCCCAATGCCACTCCTACAAAATCAACCAAATAATTCAAAGGAAAAAAATATACATTTTAAGATGTTGGTATTTTTAATTAGACCAATTAATAATTACAAACTGATTAAATTAATTTGATTACCTCCAAGTCTAAGTTTTAGCTTTCCTTGTTGAATGGCTTTGAGAGCTGAAAGTCCAAGAGTGACTGCAAACTTGCCTCCATAGGACTCTGCCACAATGAACAAAGGACTCTTTTGGAGGCTCTCATTTCTGTTGAAAAGCTCCACCAGCAATGTTGTCAAATCAGCAGCTGCCTCCAAATCATTTTTCACAAACAGAGATGTGTCTTCCACAAAACTGTATCCAGTCCCAACAGGGTTGTCCTAAATTATCCAAAAAAATCAGAAGAAATTTAAATTCATATAATTAATAAAACTCAAAAGAAGGAAACAGAGTTGGAAGTTTTGTATGAACTTACAACAAATAAAAGATCTGCTTTTTGCAACCAGGTTGAGTTTCTTGGGTTCAAATTTGTGTCCAATGGTCCAATCTCTTGAAAATTCCCAATCCCCACTCCTGAACCTCCCTATTTTTTTGAAAAAGTAATCAATGAAAACAATGTTCAAAAAAAAAAAAAAAAGGGTTGTTCATATTATTTGATTTGATATAGTTTGGTAATACTCACAGGTCCACCCTGAAGCCAGAGAATGGTTGGCCATGGCTTGGAGGGATCCTCAACTCTGTTGGGACTTCTGTAGAGCCACCAGAACATGTGGGCTTCTGTTTAAAAACAATACCAAAACAAAAATTCCATGAACATTAAAATTAACATTTCTGGCTTCAATACAGAAAGAACATATATATTGTGCGTGTGAGTGAATTGCTTACTGGGTCTGACTTCAACATAGCCCCACTCCTCTGATCCATCTATGGTTCCTGCAGCAGCCGCTGTTTTTGCAGTTCCTCCATGAAAAAGTGGTACAAAAAGGAGAAGAGAGACGGAAAGTATTACAGAAAGCTTTTCCATTGTTGGGAGAGCAAATACTGGAGAGAGAGAGAGACAGAGACAGAGAGAGCAACTTCTTAACTTGCTGGGAAATAAGGCATGAAGTAAAAGGAGATTTTTTTATGTACAGAGACTGCTGAGGATTAATATTAGCAACAAAAAGCTTACCTTGTCTTTGTCCAACAGAAAATAAATTTAAGTAAATTTATTTATATTATATAACATGTTTATTTTTCTATAAAAAGACATTTCAGCCCCTATCCCGTTTCTCCCTCCGTCTTGCTTCTCCCTCTTTGGTTTCATCTCTTCTCGCCTTCTACATCGACTGCCACGGCTTCTCCACCAACTGCCACCGTCTCTCTCTCTCTCTCTCTCTTCATCCCTAATAAACGACATGATGGCACTTTTTAGGCATCATAGAACTGTTTTTATGGCATTTGACCAATGCCCTAAATCTATCTCTCTCTTTGAATCTAAAATTTTTCTTCGGAGTTCATTTGCACATGCCCTCATAATATCTTGCTATCTTCTGCAAAGGAACAGAAATGTAGAGGAAATGAAATTTTGCACTCTATGAATTGAAATTCCTTGACTCTTGAAATCCTGACTAGGTTTGATTACTCTGCATATCATTCTATGCATATCATATCGTCTAATATTGGATTACGACCATGGTGATTGCAAATTTTGGGTTTGTTTGATTAGATTAGGTTCCATCCAATTTTCAAGGCAGCTCATTGTAGTGCATTCAGAATTTTTTAGAAATTTTGGGAATCTGTATATTTTTCACAAATTTTGTTTTATTAGGTTAGGTTCCACCCAATCATCTATTTTGTCCTCTCGATGGCGGAAACGGGACAATGGAACCGTGGTGAAGGTTATTTTAGGAATATAATGGGTGGGAAAACATGATTTTATATTTTTAACCTTTTATGGTGGGTGTGATTATAACGTTGATGAGGAAATCAAACAATGGCGTGAGTTTATCATCACTCTTATTTATTGAGTGTTATTCGAGTATCCAACAATTCTCTTGCATTTTATTAATAAATAAGATGCAAAAATCAAAGCTACCTATTTTCTGTATAAGAGTCACGACTAGGCGGGTGTCTAAGTAGGTCTAGGCTCTCTTTCTTAATTTTCAAATTCCCAAGGATTAATAGGAGCGGTGACCAGCTGTCTAGCGCCTAGGCAGAAGTTTTTTAAAGTGTTGGAAATAGGTAGTAGCATATTGTTTCTATGATATATAATAACTTTCAGAATTTTTTCAGAAGCGGTCAATCAGTAAAATCAAAGAAAAGATTTTGTTATTTAATTTCTTGTTATAGCAAGTGCGACTTTCCCTATCCATGTACATTGTCACGGTGCATTCGTTTGGCTCTTAATATACACGGTGAATTCTCATAAAAGTGTACGTGGATTACAAAAATCAACTATGTACACACATTTCTTTTGCAGTGGAAAATCTTGATCAAATAAGAAACCATAAGTAGATGCACACCAATTAATCCGACTTTGGACCAGACTATTACTCTAATACGTATACCCCAAATTCTCTACCATATCTACAAAGGCCAAATGAGTGTGTTAGTTTACGAGCGTGCCACTATTTGGTAGTGTATACATGTAATTACTAGATTGAATTGATGTTGAAAATATTAGAAATTCCGGAAGATAGGTAGGTTACAGGGTCTCTCCCCTGCACTCTAAATACCTTTTTATGCATTTTTATAGAAACTAATGATAGAGTCACAAATCTTGGTTTGTCAAGGATTAAAATGGAGAAACCCCTTATATTTATTTACACCTTTATAGATAATACTTGCATTTCCTAATAGGGGAATGCACATATCCCACTCCTTGCCGTAAATATAGAAATTTCATGTGCAAAAAACACTTAGAACAAGATCATAAGTTCAACTTTAGGTCCCATTTTAATAATTATCATTTCTAAGTCTGCACAAACCCCACCACCATCATCGCAGCAATCACCACCACCTTGTCACCAACCACTACCATCTCTACCACCACCTTCCATGACCAAGACCATGACCAATGACCATGCCCATCACCACCTTCTCGTGGCCATTACCACCATCACTACTGCTACCACCTTTCCACCACCACCACTAGCCCTATCACAAATTTGCCAAATACTACCTCTCATTTATAAATTGAATCAAACACTCTATAGTCTATATCCAAAGGTAATAAATATGGTGGAGCTAATCACCATCACTCGAAGGTGGTGAGAAAAAAAAATATTCCCTTTGTGGAAGCACGTCTTGCTCACTGTTGAATATTTTACGAATGACCATATTTTCATAATGTTGAATATTTTTTCGAATGATCATATATGAATATAGGGCATAGTTCGACGATGAAATCCATGTATAGCTGGGTTCTTGCACAAGGTTGATTTATTTATACGTTCATAATTTATTGTTGCCTATCTTGCACAAGATGAACAGCTTCCCCAACGTTGCAAAAGGACTTGCTGCCAAATGTTTTAAACATTTAATTTGGCTTGTAGCTGAAAATTGTTGGATGATTGACATGTTTAAAAGATATAGGAAGTCTCAATCGAATTGACACCCATTTTTCTTGGAATCTATTGGGTCAGGTTTTATTGTCTTCTCAAAGTCAACCGAACAGATTAAAAATAACAAAAGGTTGGCAACAATTTCAGAATGAAACTGTTCATTGACACTTCAAAAAAACGTCTTACATGTATAAAAAGTGTGCATGATAACATTTTTTAAGTGTAAATAATAGTATCTTTTCAGAATCTATTTATTGGATTATTTACATTGATTCACATTTACACCACATAAATACATAGATGTTATAGGTAGCAAACTCCCATGCATGGAGAGGCCATCCTATAAGCTCATCCTGCTTTTAGTTGCCTCTCAAGCAACAATGCTTCTGAATAATTCCTGGCCAAAGAAACAATTTGAGAAAATTGCATTAGATATGTTAAATTTCTGAAATAGAAATGCTGCCTGGAGAAGTTTTATTGTCACAGCTAGTTTGGGCACTGAAGAAAAATGTATGGTGAAACGTCACTTGTGCAACAACCACAGAAATTCGGCTAAGAAAAATGGACCTTACTTCGGACCACTACTTTAGGTAAATGGAGCTATCATGGACATTCAAGTTTCCCTCAAAAGATTTCTGTTTCGGAAAACCTGCTGGCTAAGCAAGATATTTAGCATTTTTAGCCAACTCATTGCCCATACGTTCCCTTTATTTAATCTAATGTGTCAGGCGATAAAATTCTTGTTTGTGTTTGTTATATATGTAAACTTCCTTTTCCAATATGTGAATATCTATTATATTATATGGTTGAATTCAATCGTATGTCGTGATCAGAGAAATAAAGCGAGTTATGTAATTGGAGGATATTCATATGATATCATTGCCCTAAGGATGGAGGGTGTTTAATTTTTTAGGATTTCCCTTGAAAGGAATGAATAGTTAAAAACAATTACGGGAGAAGATGCTAATCAAGTTAATTATTGCTAGAAATTTCTAAATTGTGGATGTTTATATTGTTGTTCAAACACATGGTCCTAATTGAGTCCTCTAAATAATGAGTGGGCAAAAGCATTATAGAGTTTCGTTATTGGTCTTGGCGATTGAGAATTTATGGTCATCGAATTTGATATTAAAGGTTGAGATTAAAGCATTATAAACACTTTCCTTTATTTTTCACCAAACACACTTGAGTTTGAATTTTTTTTAATGAAATGATGATAATGGATTAGGGGAGACGAACTACACATAAGACTTGGTTGTTGGACTATAGTAGTAGTCTTACTCTCTAAACCAGCACAAGGCGGTAAGAAAGAACCAAGACCCCAGAAATCGCCATCAACTATAAAGAAGACTACTTCCTTCCCATACAGAGTGACTATAAAGGGTTAACTCCCCCATAAAATTCAATAAATAAACGAATATGCATTTCTTAATCACATGGTGAAGAAGATAACATCTCTCTATCATGATATGGATTACATGTTTGGTGTACTGTACGGTTTTAGCTGTCCACGCAAGGGACAGATAATGTGAAGTGAACTATGATTCTTCTAGCAAGCAGCATGCATATATAATTTGCATTCTCCTCTCTCTCTCTGCAGACCCATCAGATCATCATACAGGACAGACACAACCACCCTGAAGGTGAATAAGATCTTAACTATATATAGGCATGATTTTGTATATTAATTCTCCCATGTGCTCATATACATGTGACAGCGCATGTGGTTCATTGTTTAATTCCTATGTATGCGGGCATACTTAGAAGACAATTGGCTTTGTGAAGGCTCGAGTAAGGCCGGCTGTAAACGAAAAAAATATCTTCAAGCCCAGCCATCCTCTCAGAGCATCCTAACACTGTCCAACTTCGTTGAGGGTTAGTGAATTATTGGGTTCTTGACAAAAAAAAAGTTGGATTATCGGGCTCGTCCAACTTCGCCTTCAATCTTCACTTTCTACCCACTTTACACAACTTAGTTTTTCACTCAAACGGACCCTGAGGTAACGAAAGAACCTTGGCCCAACGGGGATTCCTATTTTGCCCACAATCACTTAATCAAGAAGCTAGACTCGCCACAAGAATATTATGGTTTCATAGTATTATTCTTTATTTGTAAGTGAGAGGTCTGATAGTCAAATTTAAACCAAATTATTATAGCAATTTCACTATGAGATTTAGTCCACTTTCCCATTCGTTAGTTTACATAACTAGCATGAAAATCAACATTGGGCTGAAAGTTAAGGTCTTGCTCACCACTTTATTTATCATCATTGGATGAGTTTAAACTTCAAAATATGTGTAGTGAATAGACAAAAATTTCAAAATTTAAACTCATTCAATAGTACTAAGTAGGGTGGTGAGCATTACCACTACTTAAGGGTGATGTGCAAAAATGTACCTGTGAAGCATGGTGCACATAGAGAGAAGTTTGAAAAATTAAAAGGTTATAATCCAATAAAGAAAATCTGGTTGAGTATACATTCTATTTATTATTTTTATAAGAGATATTTTACACTAATTTATACAACGAGAAGAAAAATGAGTTTTGATTAAAGAAAATACCCTAACTACAAAAAACAATTCACCACTTGCAAG